GAAAAAGTAAACAGAAAAGCACAATATAAGGGAAAGAGGGAAAAATCCCGTATTTTCAACATTCTTTTTTATTCCCATTGTTGAATTCGCGCTCAATCCGCTCAGATACTTGATATCATCTCGACGCAGATAGAACGCAGATGTATTCGGGTATCAAATTAAATTGTCTTAGAATTGAAATGTTAATTTAACCCTTTAACCTATTTCCCCTCTGGGGTGGCAATTGTTTCAAGTTTCGGTCGTTGCTACAAAACCATACCAAACGGGACCATTGTTGTTAAAACTGATTCTGACATATCCTCGGTTGAATCGCAACGACGAAACTGATTATCTCGTAATGTTTACGGCTGTATGTTCTCGAACGATTGTTTATAAAAGGGGGCTGCTCATTGCAGATGTACTACTACTAATTAGAAACTAAAAATAAACCCTTTGTGTTCTTGTTAGATTGCTTGAAAACTCATTATTATCGACAATTTTTTTAAAAATAATTAAGTTTTTAAATCTGGATCTGCACTGTTCGCTGGCCGGAACAGAACATTTTCTAAACTAACTTAAGACGAGGTATGCATTTTCGACTCTTCTTGGACTGGTTTAAGACGTAGTGTTCACATCCTGGAGAGTCCATATCCATTCTACCTCGTGCGCACTGATTCCCAGAATGGGTAATAAATAACTAAATAAATCCTTAAATATAAAAATTAAATAATTATAAATCTTTAAATATATACTCCACTACAACGGACAGATGGATCTTAGGCCAAAGACGATGAGGACAGAGCTGAAAACCTCTCTGCAGTTTTCAGTCCCACCCGAGATATCAAGACCTTTACCATTCTGACAACATTCTTAATTACCTGATTAACTATCTCTCTCAGTCCTAAACCTTTTCAAAAAGAAAAGCCCAGATTACGACCTAACCAACATCTAAAAACCATTACCTTTATAACCTACTTATTCAATGACTACCTACGCACAACCCATTTCTCTATCCTTGATAAATATTCTTCCTTAATGACGATCCTGTAGAAAACTTAAACACTCCCCAGCTCCGACCCATCAGACTTTTGGCGATTGATTCACCTGTTCAATAAGACGCCTGTCATAATCAATTCGGCTTTTGGAACTATCCAACAAGCGCATCGCATTGTAGACGTAACGAAATTTCTATTGATCTGAAGCAGTACTGCCCTGGTGATTTCTTGGATGTTCACAATCCTTTGACGGGTATGGCAAGGGTTGTGGACGCTCAAGCCTATTCTACCAGCACGAAGCTTCAACATCTCCTATCAATCCTATTCTAGCAGATGTCCCTTAGGGCACCTCGCTCCCCTTCTTTACTCACTATATATTCCTGACCTCTCCACACCAGCTACCACTGTCACCTTTACTTTTGCCGATGAAACAGCAATCCTTTTTTCCTGAGAGACACCAGAAAAAATGTCTTTTTCTGTCTTGTCTGTCACTTCGATGTCACCCACTTTATTAAAGGGTGTCTTTCCTAGTCTCCATATAGAGAGCGATTAGATTAAAACTGCATTCGTTGCGAGCTGAAATGGCCCTGCTTGATAGCTCCAGGAACCTAACTTCATCACTAGTACAGATACAACCACGATCTAAAGCTTTACTTAAAAGTATGGTCGTAACGATGATTGAGATTAAGAAGCGGGAGCTTTATATTTTCCAATCATTGGAGTTTTTGGTTTATTGTACTTTTCCTAGTTACTTAAGTCAGTTCAATTCACTCAATCTCTCTCTTAATAACTAAGGACTCTCATTGCTGTAATTCGATTTCCCGAGTCTTCTCCATATCCTAAGTTACGAAGCGGTTGCTTCACATTCGAAGGTGATATAGTTGGCAGTTTCTCCGTCCTCATTAATTATATCCATGTTGTGTAGGTGATGTCTCAAATGCCAGTTACCATCCTCGTGAGTTTTTTTCCTGGTAAATGGAAAATAGGAAATGTTTTTTTCCTGATTATTTTACTTTTTAGTTAGGTCACTGACTGTCATTGCAATTCTTTTCCGCGAGTTTCCTTGGAATTCTATACTATGTCTCCATTGAGTGGTTGCTTTGTATTCGAAGCTGATATGAGTGTTTTTTTCCTTCTCATTGCATAATGTGCAAATGGGGTGTTCATTGAATAATTTTAAAGTAATTTTTTCTCAGATGCCTGTGACCTATATATAGCACTACCATTCTGAGTTTTTCCCTGTCTAATTTTATCAGTGTTTGCCAGTTTAGGCGACATCCTATAACCACGAGCTTACTTTGTTTGGCTCCTCTATAAATAGTACATTTCTCCTTTTATTTTATATGGACTCATTGAGAACCCATCAAGATAGGTTCTGTTCCATATATGGCAGTACAGATCCTTCTCGGATCTAGTTTTTTTCTGGTTGTTCATTACGTAGAACTCTTTTTGTCCTAGCATCCAAGATATTGTCAGGTTGTGGTGTTTTCCCATGTTTTGGAGATTGTCGATGCATTCACTGACTATTTTGATGTCACCTGTTTACGCACTAGTGCTTTTATGGCTATTTGTCGTTTGATCTTATCAGGATTTTTGTCAGTGTAACTCCTTTTAATATTTTCTATGGCACAAGCATTGTCACCATATATTTCAACTTCTAAAACCAAGGTGTACTTCCTTCAGCAATTTAATGCTCTATCGATCACTGTGTTTGCTAGTTTTGTCGATTGATTCAATGTCTGGCAGCTCTAAGATTCTTCCATTTTTATTTTTTTATTAGATCAATTCAGAAACAGAGGATACTAGTTGATCCTGTTATCCCAAATAGAGGTTTTGGGTCTGTAACTAGTCTTGCAGATTTTTTCTGGCTATTATGCCTGTTTGTTCCTCTCTCAATTTACCTTTCGTGCACTGGCATCCAATAGCAGATATTGTTATATTTTACCAGGTTTCAGATCTAATCACCGACTATTTTGATGTGACATTTTTGCTTGTAAGACGGAGGACTTCCCTATTGAAAAACCGTGAATTGACTAAGTCTGGAAATCCTAGAGTTCGTCCATTTCACTTTTTGTTCTTCGGAGTTGGCCAAGAATCGGTCTAAATCGACCCTCTGGGAATTGGACTATGACAGAGAAGTGTGTTAGGACCAATTCTTTACTTTTTTACACCGCAGATATCCCGACCTCACCCTCCATCATTCTTGTTATCCTTTGCTGCGTATTGTTTGAACGACCGAGGTGTGCTTCGCATGAGTTTTATTAGCCAAATCTGGGCTGCACAGAATATACCTGATCCGGTCCTTTATTCATTTTGGAATTATCTGTATACTACATAATTTTCCCTTATTTCGTCTTATAGTCTCCATTTAAGCTTAAGTCTGTATAGACTTTATAGGATGTTGCAATGGATCATTTTTGAATCATAGAGTTAGTTTTCATTTTTAGAAATGGGTATATCAATGAAAATTCATGCGGCAATATGAAAAATGTAAATTAATTTTCCATATTTTAAAATCACTACCGGCAATATTCCCTTGCCGATTTATAGGTGGGGTTTGTACATAAAAACACCAATGCAGATATTCGAGGGCGAGATATTCGGAAAGTACGTGTGAAGAATTTGTCTCGTCGGTAGATGGGGTAAAAGTTTCCAGGCGAGGGGAGCTGGAGTTGTCCTGGAAAAAAAAGTTATACCGGCCGAAAGGGGATTTGCCTAAAAACGGTGAACTTGGGTCAGACGAAAGTTTACACGAATCGCTTTAGTCCGAGGGCCGTGGGCAAAAAGTGGAACGTAGAAAATCGAAGCCCGCGATTTGAAACTTCCACAGAACTTCCTCATCGGTATTCATTACTGAGATGGAAATGGGGAAAACATAACACTCTCCATGACCGGCGGGACGGACGTTGGGAGCCATCGGTGCCCTTAATGACACTGTTAAAATCGATGGGGATTCAGCTGCTATGATGAAATTCCAATTGCGGCCTTTTCCCCTAAATTAATGCCCCTTTTGATCTGATTTTGATATGTTTACAGGCCGATGATAATGGTTAAGGACTATTTGCAACATACTTTATCTAAAATCAATATTCTCTTGTAAGTCCCTGCTCTCTGTCAGTTTTACTGTTATCTTTCTTTCTAATGATTAGTAAATTTCGGCTTACCACATAGTGTTTTTTATATACGTGTAGTCAAACATTCATATGCATATAGATCAATTTGTACTTTCCAAAGAAACCGCGTAAAAGCTAAAACCCTTCCGGTTGAAATTATATTTTCCATCGTAATTTCAATCCTTCCTAAATTGACAGATTAATATTAATCAGCTAATACCGGATTCAAGTAAGGCTGACGGTGTGAAATGGAATGCAAATGAAGAATGCGGAGATGCTAGAATTCTAAGTGCCGGTGGGTAAAAGCGGCATTCCCAGTGTCTTTGAAGTGAATCGAAAGGTTGACCAGAACATACGCTCTCCAAAACACCAAAAGTAACCAACCTTCAACATAATTCATTAATTCAATTATTCTTTTTATGTAAGATCTTAGTTGAGATGAAAAAGTTAGTGTCACGAGCGGGATTCGAACCCACGATCTTCGGCTCAATACGCTGCTGCTCTAACCACTTCAGCCGTTCGATCCACTCGGACACCAACTCCCATCTTAACCTACAACATTTCTAATTTTCCCTCTTTTTTGCCATTTTTTAAGCTCAAGTGATTAGATTAGGCCACTAAAATGGATTAACAATTTATTAAATTGGTTCGAAAACTGTTAGTTTCAAATCGCGGTACCACCTGCGGAGGTTGTAAGGATGATGTTGAACTGTATCGGCAAGTATATAAAATGAGACCAAAAATGCTAAAACTAGAATTGAGAGTTCGACCATTTAGAAACCATGGGAGAGCGATAAATTACGAAATATTCGCTTAGCATTGCGGTTGTGAACTGAATTGTTCAAAATGTTTCTTTTGTGTAATAACAACATTTGATAGTCTAATTTTCTAATTAAGTGTTTTTGTGTTACAGTGACGGGGGATGGGCGGGGCGGGGGCGCACTGATTTCCGGTGATGATGGAGACCGGAAACCGGACGTGGACGGATGAGGGGGCCGGCCACCCGGCAGTGCAGCCGACCCCGCAAGACGGATGGACCCTGATAGTGAAGGCCTGCCTCATGGGCTTCATCATACTGGCGGCCATACTCGGCAATCTCCTCGTCATCGTGAGCGTGATGCGCCACAGGAAGCTCCGGGTCATCACTAACTACTTCGTCGTCTCTTTGGCCCTGGCGGACATGTTAGTCGCCCTCGGCGCGATGTGCTTCAACGCAAGCGTCGAGCTGACCGACGGCACGTGGCTCTTCGGATCGTTCATGTGCGACGTATGGAACTCCCTGGACGTTTACTTCTCCACAGTTTCCATCCTCCACTTGTGTTGCATATCCGTCGATAGGTATTACGCGATTGTGCAGCCCCTCGATTACCCTCTGATCATGACGAGGCGGAAATTGGCGATCATGCTCGCCGCCGTCTGGTTCTGTCCCGCCTCGCTCTCCTTCCTTCCTATTTTCATGGGATGGTATACGACTCCAAAACACCTGGCTTATCTTTCGGAAAACCCTCACCTTTGCGAGTTTAAAGTCAATAAAACCTACGCAGTCCTCTCGTCCAGCCTCAGCTTCTGGTTACCTGGTGTCATAATGATCTTCATGTACTACAGAATATACATCGAAGCGGATCGCCAGGAACGCATGTTATACAGGTAGGTCGAATTTCCTTTAGCACTTTTCTTTACATCTTGTTTATAATAACTTGTAAAACGAGAAAATAACATATTATACTAATGTACAACCGTACCTCTTCCCATCTTCCTTCCTGTTTCCCTTTCCATGGTCGTTTCTGCTCCTGGTCCTCATAATATCATCCATCCATCCCGTTTTTGGTCTTCTTCTTCTCTTTACTATTGACGACCACTACTACTACTATATGTCTTTATTGTTTAATATATATACAAAGTTTACAGATCGGCAGTATATATTCAGAGCAAGAAAGACGTTCCTCATGGTTTAAAACCGTCTGAGGGAGTCTAGCACATAAACTTATATAACTAAAATCTTTCTTATTTACAAGTAATTGTAATTAATATTTACAAAAGGAATACATACTTTCTTCAAAAATTTCAGTAATGTAATAATAGGACATAATTATATAATAATAGCTGAAACATGATGGCAAATATATACATCTCTTATTTATGATTACCTATAGTGCACATAACTCAATAATAAAATAAATTAAAGTAAAGTAAATGGGAATAATAAAAGTAAAAATAAATAATAATGCGATACAGTATCTACCACAAGAGATAATATCGGGTTGTCCGGAAAATAATGCAGGATTTTAAGTTTTCATTAAAAAAAATCTATATAAAATATTCTGTTTACGTTTACAGGATTACTCATTTGTATGAATGTCAACACTTATTAATCCTCTTCCAAATGATATTGTTTGTTTACCTCTGTAGCATTCCGCTACTTGGAAATAATTCAGTCATCCTTATAATGTCAAAGCGAGAATTTCGTACGATTTTCTTTTACGAGTTTAAACTCGGCCGAAGCGGAGCCCAAACGGCTAGAAACATTAACCAAGTCTGGGGCGAGGGTTGTGTTAATGAGTGCACTGTGCAAAGGTGGTTTAAAAAATTTCGGGAGGGAGATTGCAGCCTTGAAGATGAAGAAGGTCGTGGAAGGCCTTCCTCTCTTAATGATGATGTTCTGCGATCAGTGGTGGAAGAAAACCCCAAAACAACTGTTCGAGAACTTGCAGAGCAACTCAAAGTCAGTAAAACGACCGTCGCTGACCACCTCAAGGCGATTGGAAAAGTGAAAAAACTCGAAAATTGGGTTCCACACTCATTAAACGATCGCCAAAAAATCAGCGCTTTGATGTTTGTGCATCACTTCTTTGTCGAAACAAAAATGACCCATTTCTGGCCAGAATTGTTACATGTGACGAAAAGTGGATTCTCTACGATAACACTAGACGTTCTGGACAGTGGCTCGACAAAGGAGAAGCTCCAAAGCCCCCAACTCATCAAAAAAAGGTAATGGTTACGGTATGGTGGGCTTCATTTGGTTTAATACACTACAGCTTCTTAAATCCTGGCGAAACCATCAATGCTGAATCATACTGTAACCAAATTAATACCATGCATCAGAAATTGGCAGTAATGAAGCCCTCTTTGGTCAATCGGAAAGGGCCCATTTTGTTGCATGACAACGCTCGACCACATGTGTCACGTGTAACGTCACAAAAATTATTGGAGCTTGGCTATGAAACTTTGCCTCACCCACCCTACTCTCCGGACCTCTCGCCTACTGACTACCATTTTTTTAGACACCTGGACCACTACTTACAACACATAATATTCAAAAATCAAACGGAACTGGAAAATGCATTTATTGACTTTATCAATTCTAAAAATTCTGAATTCTACTCAGACGGAATTAATAAGTTACCAACACGTTGGGAGAATTATTTTGATTAAAGAACATTGCTTTAAAGTAACTAGTTTCTTTTTTTTTGTTTAATACCAAAATCCTGCATTATTTTCCGGACAACCCAATAGTAAAAAACAAAACAAATATAAGTGTTTAAAATATAATATTCAGGTCGAAGATGTGCTTTGCACCTATTCAGGGGAATCCGACAAAAGAAGCCGCCTCCACCCTCACCAGGTGCCTCTGATTCTGGCTCTAAGAGAATAAGCCTCTTTGCAGAAATTTACCAAGACTGCCAATCCTTGCCGTTAATATATTCTAGCAGAATCTCACTAGACAGAGTTTCCCTACCAAAACAGTGTTTCCTGACAGCGGTCAGTGCAGGGCAAGTTGCCAAGAAATGGAACAAATCCTCCCGCTCTGTACCACTACCAAGTTCACAGTTAATATCCTGCTGCTTGAAGTGTTTGTAGTTTAAGTTAAATAGATCCCCCCGACACTTAATTATCCACCGCATGCTATCTAAGGGTAGCGAGAGATCCATTAGATAATTTGGGGATTTGAAAAGAAGCTCTCTATGGAGTGGGGAAACTGTCTGAATTGGCCAAAGCTGTGTAATATTGTCTCTTTATATTGTCACAAATGGACCGTCTAACTAGTCTCAAACCATCCCTCCACAGTTCAACTCTGTCGATATTGTTCCGGTCTAAGGACAGGTCCAAATTAAATTGCATGATATGCCTTTTTATTGCCTTAAACCAATACATTTCTTTATCTACAATCTGCTTGGCTAGGATCTTCGGGAGTGTATTGTCTGGTAGAGATAAAATTCTTATTATGTAGTCGAAGTGAAGTTTCACAGTGTAGAGAAAAATTGGCAGGAGACCCGTCTCAGCATAGAGGAAGGCTGTGGGGGCGTACTGAGGCAGCCTGAACAGCCTCCTGATGAAGAACCCTAGAAACCCCTCTACCTGTTCAAACATCTCTCCTCCCCAAACCCGAGCGCCGTAGCATAAAATAGACCTGCTGACTGTGTTAAATATTTTTAGCTTAGTCGAGTACGCAATATCGCCGTTGTCTATAAGAGGTCTCCAGATAGAATTTAGTCCCATCCTTGCTCTATCCACCTCATCCGTAACATGTTTGTTCATTGACAGTGCCGGCGTGAGTCGGATTCCCAAATACCCATACTCATTCACCACCTCTATCTCCTCAGTTTCTAAATACCACCTCTCACTTTTCGCAGGTCTACCCCCATTTCTCAACACCATAATCTTAGATTTATTCAGATTTATTCTTAAGTTCCATCTGCGGCAGTACTGTTGTAAAGACCTGATCATTCCCTGTAAAGAGGCAGGGTGTGAGGCAAGTGAAACTATGTCATCTGCATAGGCTAACACACCACCATCTAAGCATGGCTCCAAATCAATAATATTTAATGAAAAAAGTATTGACGACCAATTTGGGGCTATCTTCGTCTACCATTCGAGGCCTCATCTATGACCTGCCATCGTCCACATAGATTCTCGATGGATGGATGTGGTGTTAAACGCCTTCGACTCCCGTTTTTGTTTCTTTGTCGATCTTTAATTTTCACATTTATCTTTGTGTTGAACGTATCGTAGACAGTTCAATTGACTCGATCTTTTTCGTAAGAAGTAACTTTTCCGGGCTACTTTCTACTAGTAGCCAATCCTACTCGCTCTCTATATGAAGACTAGGAACTCTTCAATTAAGTGGGGTACATTAAGATATCTTTCTCTGCATGCCGGACACATTCTCCTGCTTTGTCTCAAAGGTTTGATGATGATGGAGTGTTAGGAAGTTGCGGGTTTTTATTCTCCAACCACTGTAGCTTTTTTGCTTAGTTCCTTTGTTCATTTCAATTGGTTCGATTCTCTTAAGAAATATTTGGCTATTGACTGTCATTACTGCGATTTTAGTTCCCGGTTCTTCTTTATACTCTAGGTTATGTTTCCATTGAGCGGTACTCAAAGTTAATACGGGTGGCAGTTTCCTCCTCCTCATTGCATAACCTCAAAATAGGGCCATTATTAAACCTTTCGCTTTTATTAAAAAATATACATAAACAAATATATACATACGTATGCAGTTATGCTTACCCCTTTGGACAAACTTTCTTATTTATATTACACATACAGTTGTATTTGTACTTATTGTTGTAATGTGTTCTCAGTGTTAAATCGGATATAAAATTGGCCGTAATAGAACGTTGCCGTCTTTGGCTTTCAACTGAAGTAAATAAGCTCATCTAAGTGGCCCTTCGCCATCACGTTTCGCTTTAACAATTCACTGAAATTTCCTCCGTTCAAAAGTGAAATATGACTACTGAATGGGACTAAAACGATCTTCTATTCTACATGCTCTCTTAAGCATGCGCTATTTGGAAATTACATTAATATGATTTAATTTGTAGCGGTTTAATTGAGCAACATTAGCTTTTATTAAATTTGAATTTGAAAAGCTGAGAAAATTTAACGTTTTTCCCTTTATTTTTTTCCGATCTTGTTGTAGGATCGCTTTATTTTCTTGTGTTTTATTATTTGATATAGTAATAACACAATCAAAATTGTCACTCAAAATGTTGGACGTCAGCTTTAACTAACAAAGAGAGTCTACGGATCATTTTTTAATATGTCCTTTTTGTGGCAAATTGTCAAGTCACTGCAGGATTCGTGTTCGGCATAATATTACCTCCACAATATGCCTTCTGTCAGTACACCTATCCGGTATATAGCTTTTTCCATCAAATTAACCTTTTCTTACCACGGAGATGGTATGAATTTCATTTGAAATTACCTTCTTTCGCACCAAAGTAACTCTTCTTAATTTAAAACTAACCGTTTTCAAATTCAAAGTAATCCTTTAGACTTAACATAAGCTTTTTAACTTCGTTAAATGCATTTTAAGTTTAGATGAATCCGTTTTAATATCAGATGAATCCTTTTAAACATGGAATCAATTTTTATCTTTAAACTAACCTTGTTATTTCTAATGAAAACAATTAATTTGGAGTTAACAGTTCTAATTCCAAATTAACACTTTAAAATTCCAAATTTAATTTCAAATTAATCCTTTTAAACTTCAAATTAACTTTTTTAGTTATAAATTAACCTTTTTAATTTCAAATTGATATAGTTATTTTGAAGTTGACAGCTTTTAACTCCAAATTAACACTTTTAAATTTCAAATTACCCGTTTTAAGTCCAAATTAGCCAACTTTAATTTCAAATGAATCCTT